AGCACCAAAGTTCAGCCCTGAAAAAACGTGGACGCGGCAGCTGGACTCGAGACGGAACGAGACGGGAAAGACACAGGAACTGCTGGTGACGTCATATCAGCGTGATAGCAGCGAATAAAAAAGGCGTCGCGGAGGGCTGCTGAGTGAGAACGAGATTGGTCGTCAGCAGCAGGACGTTTGCAGCCGAAACCCGAAGCTGTGCTGACAGAGCCTACCTCAAGATCAGCAGTAAAGCAGTTTGACCGATCAAAGGCAATTCAGAGGGAACAGACAGTGGCCCAGGAGCAGCTTCCAACCCACGACCCCGCCAGCTCTCCCCGACGCAGCTCCGTCAGACGCATCCCGTCCCTCCCGCAGGCGAAACCTGGTCGGCGGGCACTCGTAGGGCTTCACCATGGCGCCGACCGTCTCCGCTCCCTCGCCCAGGCCAGTCCCCTGCTGGCGCCCCCGCGAGCACTACCTTTCCCCGCACGCAGAGGACGACCCCGCCAAGGACACACCCGAGAGGCCCTTCCTGACGCCGAGGGAGACCAGCGCGATGTCTGACGCCGACACGGAGGGCAGCGCGAACACCGGGCGCAGCAGCCAGCCCCAGAGGACGAACTCGCTGACGTCCTCGGAGAGCGACGGCCCGAGGATCGTCGTCCACACCACCAGCGAGGAGGACGAGGACGAGGACTACGATACCTCGCCCAACCCGCCCCTGCCGCACCTGCTCAGCGTGCTGGGGGCGGAGTCCGTCACGTCCACCGACGTCGGCTCCGACTACACGAGCGAGGGCGGCGAGTCGGGTCAGGAGATCGACCTCAAGAGCGTGACGCCCCAGCTGATGCGGGCGCTGGTCAAGCAGGTCGAGGAGTACCTCAGCGACGAGGGCCTCACCAAGGACCTCTTCCTGCTGAAGCACGTGAAGCGCCACCGCGAGGGCTTCGTGTCGCTGAAGCTCCTCTCGGGATACAAGAAGATCAAGAAGCTGTCGCGCGACTGGCGTGTGCTGGCGCTGTCGCTGCGCACGTCGCTGGTGCTGCAGCTGAACGAGGAGGGCACGAAGGTGCGGCGGGTGGCGCCCCTGCCCGAGGCCCTGCGCTGCGACACGCCCACGTCCCGCGCCATCATCGCCGTCAACGTCCCCGCCGAGCACGCGTCCATGGAGGGCCTGGCCACCCTGTTCGGCGTGTACGGCCCCGTGTCGTCCCTGCAGGTCATGCGGCCGAAGCCCGGCGGGGGCCTCCCCCCTGAGCTGCAGCCCCTGGCGGTGCGGGTGCCGGAGGTCAGCAACTCCACCTGCGCGGTCATCGAGTACGAGGACGTGTGGGGGGCGGCGCGCGCCCTGCAGGAGCTGGACGACCCTAAGATGAGCCTGCACGTGTTCCGCCGCGCCCGCAGGTCCGAGCGGAAGGCCTCGCCGACGCCGAACTCGACCCCGAGGCTGCACAGCAAGTGCGAGTTCGGCGTGTCGGCGGAGGAGCTGCGCTCACGCCTCAAGGGGAGCAAGTCGCGGCTGGCGCACCTCAGGGGCGAGTCGAGCAACTCCGAGGGCGAAGACGGCTCCAACTACCAGCGCATGCGGTCCTGGCGCCAGAGTCCCTCCCGCCTCACGCCGCAGCCCACCGCCCTCCACCACCGCCGCGCCTTAAGGACCGGCAGCGTGTCCGTGCCCTCCTCGCCGGCCTCCTTCCGGCGCGTCCTCCACCAGCAGCAGCAGCCCCAGGGCGTCACGCGAGAGCCGAGAGGCCCCGACGGGACGCGGGGATTCGCGAGGGTTCGCACATGAGCTCCTTCACCCTCGCAGATCCTTCAAGACGGGTGCTCCTCCCCCTGCAGACGCCTCCTCCGTGCCTTGCCCTGCGTGAATGTGTGCCAAGTATCTATGCTGGCGTGTTCATATGGTCCTTGTTTGTATGCTATTGTTGGTCCTAGACTTAGTATAATGATCTGTAAATAGATATGAAATCAAATTAGATATTACGCAATAATCAAAGTATCCAAACGTGTGATAAAATGTAAATACAAAACTGTTGTGATGTTTTTGCAAGCCAAATAAACGCTTTTATTCTTAAATATTGATTTTCATGTTTCCGCTAAAACATACACAAGAGAGAAAAAAAAGCACGGCCTTATCGTGATGTGTAAAATGTACGACTTATCTAAAACACTGCAATTTGGTGTATATTGATAAGCAAAACTGATTTCCCAGAATACGATTATTCGACAGCTGTAAGAGAGAAGGAACAGACAGAGAACGTGTGAGAGAGAGATAGAGAGAGAGGGGAGATAGATAAAGGAGAGAGAGGGAGAAAGGGAGAGAGAGAGGGGGGAGGGGAGATAGAGAGAGAAAGAGAGAGAGAGAGAGAGAGAGAGACAGACAGACAGACAGACAGAGAGACAGAGAGAAACAGAGAGACAGATAGAGAAAGAGACAGACAGACAGAGAGTAACAGAGACAGACAAGAGAAGAGACACACATAAACAGAACAGAGAAAAAACAGACAGACAGAGAAGAGAGAAAGAAAACAACCAACATGGCTCGAGTCTCCCTCACCTGCATAGTCTGTCACTCTCGCTCCAAGACGTTTCTGGACCGTCTTGTAGGGATTCTCGTCGACCTTGTGCTTCTTTCGTCGCCCACTTCCGCTCTTTGGCTTTTCTGGGTTAATTCCCTCGTTTCTGCTTGATGTTTTTTTTTCGTTTTTTTTTTTTTTTCCGTTTTTTTCTTTTTTTTTTTTTTTTTTCTTTTTTCGAGTTTTTTTTTTTAAGTTCAATTCGTGTGTACTTTTTGTGTTTTTTTTTGTGTGTTTATTTTGTTTGTATTCGGGTTTTCTTTGATATTTTGTGGCAAACAGACATAGGCGATGAAATTGGGGTTAAAAGAAATGTGTATCTATGTGTGTGTGTGTGTGTGCGTGTGCGTGTGGGGCGTGTGTGTGTGGTGTGTGTGCGTGTGCGTATGTATAAGTGTGCATATGTTGCCCGCGTTCGTGTTTGTATGTCTGTGCGTACGGGGAGATGTAATCTGAACGAATGCTTCCTCAATAAAGGATATATAATCATGGATAAATAATATAAATAAAGGAAAATCAGATAAAATGATAAACGGAAATAAAATAATATAAGACAAAAGAAGTTTAATAAAGAAAGTAATATTAAAAACTACTAAGGACAAAAAAAGGATGTGAATCAGATAACAATACAAACAAATCGAATACCCGTAAGACAAAGACCCTTCAATTCACAGTAATAAAAAAAAATAACAACTAGTGCAAAATACCACCAAGAGAAAAACAAAAAAAAACAAAAATTCACGAGTCGAGTGTGAAAAATAAAAAATGCTTCTATTAATACGTAACTACTAGAGCGAGTTCAAAATTGCCAAGATACACAATATATACTAAAGACTGAGGACAAGCGTGGGGCGTAATTGTACGTGTAGAAAAGCTATTCGAGTAGAATAATAGTAAGTGAATATATCACACAGCATTAAACGAAATTCTTTTTCACAATTCGTCTCCCTCATTTTCTAGGATTATTCTCTTTATGCTAGTTGTTTAATCGTTCATTTCGTTAATATTTCCTTTCGTTAATCCTGATTTTTACTGTCTATTTTCTGACTGATTAATATATCTATTTACCTTCATCGTTAATATCCATTATTCTTAACTACACACATCTCACACCAACACACACACTCAGCGATCCACAAACACACACCACATCTACAATCCAAATTCTACACCTCACATACTACTAACACACGACACCACACGACACACACAGACACAAAGCAAGCAGCGACACACACAGCAACACGAATACGAAAGCACACACGAGCAAGCAAACACACACCACACACACACCACACACACACACACACACACCACCACACACACACACGCACACACCACACACGCACACACATACACACACACACACACACCACACACACACACACACACACACACACACGACACACACCACACACACACACACACACACACACACACACACACAGTATATATAGGGTATATATATATATATATATATATATATATATATATATATATGTATTGTATGATATATACATATAATAGTAATATATATATATATATAGAGATATATATAAATTAATATATTATATATATATATATGTAACTTAGATAGTGAGAAATAAATGTACATATATATAAACTGCCTACGCGAGATAATATATATATAAGATAAATAATAGTATAGTATACATATAATTATGTAGATAAGGCAATTGGTATATATAATATATATAATATTATATATATATATATATATATATATACGTATGCTATATATGTATGTATATATATACATATATATATATATATAATATAGTTATAACTAATGAAAATATATAATAATCATATTGATCAATAAGTATATATATATAGATGAAATATACATATAGTATACATATGATAAATATTATATATATAGTTATATACATAATACTATAGATAAATATAAATACAAGTATAGAATGATACCATAAACATAAAAAATGTATAAATAGAATATGAAGTACATATATAATATAGAGCTATAGCAGATGAGAGATCATTATGATATATACGATATATGAATATATATATAGTAGCTGTGTGTGTGTGTGTGGGTGTGTGTGTGAGTGTGTGTGTGTGCTGTGGCTGAGAGAGAGGAGATGATCGTGGATGTGATGTGTGTGTTGATGAGAGAGAGAAGAGAGACGAGAGAGAGAGATGAGATGGATGTGTTGGGAGAGAGAGAGAGAGACAGAAAGACGAGAGAGAAGACAGACCAGAGAGAGAGGAGAGAAAAGAAAGAAAGAGACAGGCAGAGAAAAAAATATAAAAAAATAACACATACGCTTAAAGAATTTAAAAATGATAGTGTGGCGTAGTACGCGCGAATGGCTGAATCAAAAATACGAGCGAACAAAACACAAAAAATAAACAAAATAACTCCAGAAAAATAAATACAGTCTGTAAATATAATATTACAACCACTACTAGCGTGAATCAATAAGAACTCAATAACACCGAAAATATAGTGAGAATAAAAAAATAATAATAAAATAAAAAATAAGAATAAGAAAATATCGTAGGATTAGATTACATAGATACTAGATCAGATAGATAGATAAGCATGTACATATAATATATATATATAAATATAAATATATATACTATATATGCTATATACTCATATATGTATATACTACAGCTATACTAAGTCATATCTAACTCATAACTACTAAACCTATATATATATAGGCAACATCTCTAGATAGTAAATACCGCGAAAGATAGATAACCAGTATGATAGTGTGTGTGATTTGGTGGCGTGTCCCCTCTTCGATGTGGTGATGCCTTGACCCGATTTCAGCATCGATCTGTGTGCGTGCGTGCCTTGACGGGCTGGGAGTAGATATAGCGTGTGGATAAAACACACCATATGATATTCAGGTCATCCGTACATATAGTGTAGAGAGTGCTAGAGAGATATATACATAGTAGTATATATATATGGGTACTAGTAGTAGTAGATGAGATGGCAGGGATAGATGAGAGTGAGATAAGGAGCTATAGAGATTCCATATAGATAGCAACTGGAGGATATATATATGGAAAAATATTGTATACATATTGGAGTGCTTATACGTGAGTTACTGCAGTTCTAACTTCTATGAGGATAGAATAGAAGAAAAGTCAACTAGTTAAGGTGAGATTTGCTTATTATTTTGATGATACGTCACAGATATTAATGAGGTTCCCGTGAGTATGCTTTGTAACATGGTATTCGTATCGGTTTTAGTGATATATGCAATCAGTATACTTCTCAGATTATGAAAAAAGGATGGAAAATAATGGTTTTAATGGCTTATATATATTATACATCGGTATATATAATATAATGATTCATCTAAATAAAACTAAGTACCCCATGACACCTCTCGATATGATTACTGATTTTCTTGATGCCTTTGCCCTGCGTAGTGAGGAGAGAGGAGAGAGAGAAAGAACGAAAAGAGAGGCACAGAATGAGAGAGAGAGAAGAGAGAGAGAGATGAGAGCAGAGAGAGGAGAGAGAGAGAGCGCCGTTTGCTCTGCTGGCTGCTTGGTAGTGGTAGTGCGTGTAGAGATGTGTTAGTGAGTGGTTGCTGTGCTTGTGTGATGGTTTTCTGTGTTGTGTAGGTTGATAGTGAATCTAGTGTGTGGCTCAGATGTGTACTGTGTGTGTAGTGTTTAATAGAGAAGCTATGCCAAGTTCCCGTGGCGTGAGGAAAAGCTGCGTGGGTCGTTGCGTGGTTGTGTGTGTGTTGTGTGTGGTTGGAAATGGCTGTGTGGGGTGTGTGTGTTCGAGCGTGCTTGCTGCGTCCCTTCTATCAGTCCAATCCCTACTATCCTACTATCCTATCCTTATCTCTATACTTCACATTCTTCTTATTTCTTCCTTCCGGTCCCTTATTTATTCATATCTACTCCATCACTTATCTATCTGCTACTCACCTTTCTTTCTATCCTACTCAGTCCCTTTAAATTTCATTCTTTCTCTCCTATCCTTCTTCTTAGCTATCACTCCCTCTCTTTCTTCCATCCGTCCTCATTTAATTTCATTCTCTCATACCTTATCCATTCTCTGAGCCTTCCCTACTACTATTTTCTTCCCTCCGTCATACCATACTTTAATTCTATCATCCACTCCACCATCACACACACACCACTCTCCTCTACCTCTCCCTATCTCATCTCACTTCACTCACGATCCACCACTACACCACATCTTATCGCAACACTACTCATTCATACCTTGTGTATCTGTTACTAACTCTATCCCTCCATCTACTTATTCTTTACCATCTCAGCATGATCTATCCTCTTTATTAATATTTCCCAACGTTTGCGTCTCCTTCCTTTCATCTACCTCCCTCTCTTTCTTCTTCCTCCGCTCCCTTATTTCATCTCTCTTCCTTGACTTCCTCTACCTCCCTCTCTTTCTTCCTCTGTGCGTCCACATTATGTTAGTGTTTCATCTCTCTGCGCGTGTGGCGTTGC